ACGTGAAGTGATCGGTGATCTTAATGGATCGTTTGGGTTCCGATATTTTCTCAGCGTTGTGAATGAATGGACAAGTTTTGCATCGTGCGCGAGCGCATTTTAAAGTGCCGGGTTGGTCATTAGTTTGGAATGAACTTCTGACCAAAAAGTTGCCTATGTTTTTTTCGCGTTTGAATGAAATGAGGGGAGGTTGCGAAAAGATAGTGCCAGTCTCTGGATCGTTTTGAAGTAATTTAAAGTTATTAAGGATAATGGATTTTAAATGAGTGGTTGTGAGGGTGAAACGTGATAGTGAATGGAATGCGGTCGGAATTTTCCTTCTGTGACGTTTGTAGTGTTGACTGTCGATCAATAAGTTGGGCGCGGTGGTAACAACGTTTTTCGAAAAACTGGCACACTGACCCTAATTTGTGGGAAAAATCAGAGTCATCACTACATAAACGACGAATTCTTAGAAACTGAGAAAAGGGAATGGAATTCTTAACATCAGATGGAGGCGAAGATGAATACAACAAGTAACTATGTGAGTCTGTAGGTTTGTAATACATAAACCGTTGCCTTCAATTGAAACTTTGGTATCTAGAAAGGATAAAGAATTGTCGGAAATTTCCCAGGTATATTTTAGGGCCGGGTGAAAATAATTGACTGCGGTTAGGCCTTTCCCGATTGCGCTCGTAAAATCCTAAAAGAGTGCTGGCAAAAATGGCTAAAAAGTGCTCAAAAAGTGCTCAAAACCTCAAAATAGTGCTCAAAAAGTGCTAAAATAGTTACCATTAAGCTTTTCGTATATATATCAGTTTTTGCCCTCTTTTGCAGGCATTCTTTGATGGATTGCTGTTCTGNAACTGATATCATTTATACGATTCAGATGAAAGGAATCACGGGTATGACATCAGCATAATGCGTGACAAAGTATATATTTATCACTTTCACGGGTTTATTACGAACCAACTTAACGGCCTTCTCCCAGTTGGCTTGTTAGCTCAATTGGTAGAGCGCTGCACTAGTATCGCAGAGGTCAGTGGTTCGAGTCCCGTACAGGCCTGATTTTTTTCAGGTCTGATTTTCGCTATTGCATAAATAGCGCTATCTACTGCGAGCATCGTGCATCATACGAAGACGGCTTAAGTAATACCCTTATCGCTGAAACGAGTTCCCTCGGGTAGCTTTATTCATGATTTCATTCAATTTGAGGCGGTTGCCTACATTTTCTATCAAAGCCGGTACTTGCTTATTGAAAGGAAACTTCAGTGGCAAGATTTCCATGTAACCCCATACATAAATTATGCATAGAGTGTTGCAAAGAAACCTTTATATTTAGTGAGGTTATATGGAAATCTTTCTAACTTCGTTTTTAACCTTAGATTTAATGGCGACTTCTTTGTTAGTAATTTGGATGCCAGCATGAAGAGGAGTGCCAGGAGTGTTTTTTTTTTTTTTTTCTTTTCCCAGGGACTCATCTCTAATTTTGATTTCTGTCTTTTATCCATGAGAAAAGACTTTCCACCAGCGGAGAACTTTCACGTGTGTTTTTGTCAAGTGCGCGATGTAAATGAAATATGCAAATAACATGAAATTGCCGCGAATATAGGGGGTTCGACCATCTCCGAGATTATGACACCCTCCTGATTTATTAACTTTTATTTGAGAATACGTTTTCTGAAATAAGTCGGACGAAATTTTCGACCTCTTTAACCTTAAACTTACTTCCCACCTTCAGAAACCGAAAAGATAGTTTTTTCTTCGTGTTGGAGTAGATTGAAGTGAGACATTTTACTTAACGTTTGCAAAAAGAAAAATTTTAAAATCTTAAAAAGCGTTCGACTCATTTAGGAAAACGTATTTTCAAATAAAAGTTGATAAATCAGAAGTGTCACAAGGTCGTAAATGGGCGAACCCCTTGGGATTCACGGCAATTTCATGTCATTTGCATATTTCGTTTACAGCGCGCACTTGACAAAATTTACACATGAAAGTTCTCTGCTAGAGGAAAGTCTTTTCTCATGGATAAAAAAAAAAAAAAAACATAAATAAAAATCAGAGAGGAGTTCTTGGGCAAAGGAAAAAAGTTCAGGCCCACAGGAGAGAGAAATAGCACCATTTTGTCAAGAAAAAACAGTCCTTGCACTCCCTCCACGTTCACGCTGGCACCAAATTGCGAACAAAGAAGGCGCCATCAAATCTACATTTGTCGTTCATAAGGTTAAAGAGGAAGTTCCCTTTCAATAAGCAAGTACCGGCCTTGATACCAAAACATAGGCAGTCGCCTCGAATCTTATGACATCATGAATAAACCTTCCTGAAGGAACTCATTTCAGCGATAAGGGTATCTGTCGATTCGCTGTTTTGCTTTTCGGAAGTTTCTTCAGCTTTTTTTTTTTTCGGCCGTGGGGTTTTCCTCTTCTAACTTTGTCCATTACTTAACGTTCAACAGAGCGAGATAAAAAACGTGACTGTTAGGCGATACTTTTCCCGGGAAATTCTTGATCCGCTGTCATTGACCCTAGAAAGTCCCATCTTCCCATTGGTTCACGGTTTTAGGAGGCGAGGTGATCCCCTGGTGCGGCGCTAGTTGTTTACAAACCTTTAGCAGCTAAAATGTCGCATTTGACTTTAAGAGGAACACATCCACTTTGGGCGAAGTTAAGGGGTATATAGATTTAACGGCCTCCCGGTTTGCTCAATGGATAGAGCGCTGGACTGATGTGCGGGAGGTCGAGGTTTCGAACCCCGGCTGGACCAACACTCAAGGTCTTAAAATAATTGAGAAGAATATGCTGCCTTTCTATAACATCAAGAAATGGTTTAGATATCCTAGTCTTCTCGGATAGGGACGAATAAATGGAGGTCCCGTCTCCTGCAGGGTTAGGGGTAGGAGACGTCAATTTCCCACGCACGAGATTACTGTGTGATGGATGTCCTCCCCCTGGGGTGGGATGGGTGGGTTGTTGTCTTACGTGTCCAGTACATGAGCCTCTGGCTCGGGCAATATAGGTAACCATACTCCAAGTTAAGACATTAAACTTTGATTATTTTTACTATTAACTGATTTTCGTGAAATTTTTCCAAAACATTCCAGGGCGTCCATTTACGCAACATGTTTCGCATATTTACGCAACATGTTTCGCATATTTTACGCTGCTCCAACTTTAGATGCGGATATCTAGACAACCAATCAGAATATCAGAAAAGCCTGACACACTTTTGTTAATCGATGCCTTGTGAATAAGACGGTACAGCCATTTTCCTCAAGCTGCGGGATCCAATACCCGATGAATTCAATAGAAGGACCCTCGGTCGTTTCACGCCTTACCGGCTCCTGACCCTCCCTAAATAGAAACAACGCCTAAATTATGTTTTTATCGTAAGCTGCGTTTATTGAGCTTTCTTTTAATGAATAGTTTGTTAGGGTTTTCTCGAAACTAGCGCGCGTGCGAATTATTTTCCCGAAAGACACTCGCGAAGGTGGGAAGTAACCTGGCTTAAAGCGGAACCAATCAAATAAAACTCTGAAAGACCTTTTTTCAGAGATCGTTTATTGTTAATTGATTTCCGGTTGAATTTCGCGATAAGGTAACAGACAAATTTGGACATGGAAAACTACTGGGCAGTATTATATATCTGAAACGTGAGAGATAAGAGCGGGAGAGTAGTACAGTGTGAGAGAGAGGGAGAGCAAGTTGATTAAAATAAATTGTGTAGTTTCGGAACGCAGCAGACTCGTTAATCTCATTCCCGACATCTTCAAGTAATTTTTAATTAATCCAAGTTAATCTCCCGAAATCAAAGTTATCAATATTTATGAGTGAGTTTCAGTACATTCAGGGGTCAATTATGGCATAAAATACTAGGCCTTTTTTATCGTTTCTTCTGATGCCTTTTCTCTGTGGAACCTGTATTAAGCGGTCATCTCAACATTTCCCGTCGGTGACCGCTTTAGTAATACAAGTTTAACTGCACTTCAGTCTGTTCTAACTGAATGCTTGGAAAAGGCTTCAAGAATGCTAATGCCCCAGCGTGTGCCCTCAGCGATTGTTCGCTTCCTCCGACAATTCGCCGGTATGCGGTATCGATTGATACGACTGAGTATGGTGAGGGTTTCTTGTCGAATAACAAGGAAAACGGATCTGTTTGAAAATTGCCTTATCTGGTGCCGGTGCCTTTTTAATGTAACAGGAAATGTGATTTCAGTCTTTGTTGAAAGAAGGAAACAGGAAAACGGAGATACGGTGATATTTATTTTCTGTCTGAAGAGATTGAACATTTTAGAGATGGTAGAGATTTCCCTTAAAAGTAAAATTTCAATCATTGTTGTACCTCTTATTATCAAATAGTACTAATATAAAGCCTTTTAAATAATTTCTGTTGAGGAAAATTCTTGTCGTAATCATTTGCTAGATTATATGGTTTAACGATTGTTTTATTGACTGTTATTTGTGGTTCCGCTTATGAAAACAATAAGCTTGACTTCGAGGGGGCCCGCCACAAGTTCGTTAAACGGTAGGCGTATTTAACGATAGCACCAGTTTTAATTGAGAGTTACCGACAACTTCCTTTGTTAAACCAAAAACATCGAGGCTGCCGCCATGATTTATTATGTCTAGTTTACAGAACAAGTAAATGTTTCTGTATTTTTCGTGAACTGAGAATGAGAACACTAGGCTATGTTTGTCAGATTAATACTTGATGTCCTGTCCGCAGGTGAAAAGGAAAGCTTTGGCATCAGGACCTGCAGCTCCAGTCGTGCTTCGTCGAGCCGATCAAGAAAGGGACGAAGATGAACTAGAACTTTCTCTACTAAACCGCATTAGATTATGTTACCTTCCTGAAGGGCCGAACCCCTCGCATAGCGTGATAATAGGACAACTTACATAAAGGAGGACGAGAAATTGGTAGCTTAATTAAGTCTGTAGAGTTCAGAATTTTTTCATCACCAAAAGAAAGTGGGAATAGAAAGGTTTATAACCAAAAGGAGCCTAAA